CTTTGAAAGTGGCTGTGTCAGCTGGCGGGCGGGTGGAAGGGAGCGAATCCTATTAGATATTGTCAGGCATCACCCCTAGGGCTTTTGCAGGGTTAGGTGGATTTTATGTGCACGAGGGATTAGGGTGCTGAGCTGTGCTTGAAGATCTGTGTATGTACCCCAGAGAGTGACCGGCAATGAATTTTGCTGGGACGCATGATCCAGGTCGCAAGGTCATCAGCGACATCTCGGAGTGGGACACCATTTAGGAAAATGTCCCCAATGAAAGTGACATTTCTTTTAATGGCCAAAGGAAAGAAAACAATGGATTTGTCAGTGGTTTGTTTGAGAACTATGTCTGCGTGCCCAGCTGGAGCCCAGTCTGAACACACAACTGGGAGCCGTAGAAGAGAAAAGTAGAAGATCCTGAGCGACCTAGCGCATCGCTCAAGCTGGACTGTGGGGACCGAGGGAGTGGCGATGCGGGCAGAGGACAGGAACCTCTGGCAAATCTCTGAGCCCAGCAATGCACAGCGCGTCCCAGACTCCAGCTCGCGCTGCTGGGGGCCCTGCGGGCCACAAAGAGCAGGGCTACCGCCCACTACGAGAGATTGAGCCGTGGCCGAGGCATAAGGGGCTGTCAGGGGAGGTCTGCGGGCCACGGGAGGAGAGGCCCACAAGGAGTCAGTGGGGGACCCTGGGGGAAGTAGGGTCGGAATGCATAAGGAGGAGCAGTAAGGGAGGGGCGTCAAAGCTGTCCACCCTTGGCCTTAGGAAGACAGTCCAGGGGGAGGGAGAGTACTCCCGCAGTCCTTCCTCTGCTCCACACTTAGGACAGTGCCCAAGCAGGAGGCCACAGGGACTGCTCAAGTGCAGCCTCTGTTTCCAGGACCTGACCTGTATCCCAGGCCTGCTCCTCCCTAGCCAGAACCTTTACCCTGGCTGGCATCATCTTCGGGAGACCATTGCCTCCTTTCAAACTGCACAACGCCTGTGAGCTAAATACCTCATGCTCCAGTCTGCAATAACCAGAGCTCGAGCTTCAGCTATCCAAACCCAGGTACCAGGGCCTGCAGGTGGGGCCAGAACCCAGGGTTTCTGCTAGAGTTTAGGGTCCCACACTGTCCCCATGTGGGTAATACACAGCCTCCATGAACTTATTTCTACATTTCCTAGATCAAATCTTTGATCCAAATTTGAGCTCAACCTTCCCGGAGGTAGATGATACTGGCTGCTGTGTGAAACGTTAACTTTCCCTGAGTCCCACTGGAAAAAGAAAGGCAGCTCCTCTGTCTGCTGGGTCTTCCCCAGCTGAGTGGATGGTAGGTCAAGGGAGAGGGGAGTTTGCCTCCGTCTGTCCTCCCTTCAACCAACCAGTCCACTCCCTGGACTCGGGAAAGGGGTGCTGCCAAAGGAAATTCGAAGTGAAGCTTGCCAAAGGAGGAGGAGAAAATTAATTAATGAGGGAAAGAAATGTGTTTCTGATCCAGATGATAGACTCCCTGTCCCTAGGGGAGGAAATTCCTTGGAAATCAATAGCTGTGCATTCATTATCCTTCTCTTGATAAAAACCAAAGCTATGAGATTGTGTGTAATGGGGGGGGTGTGTGTCTGTGCTGGTCATTAAACAAGAAGAAGGTGGGGAAAAATGCCCAGAAATCTATGCCAAGGCTCAGACCCCATGTGGGCATCATTAGCACCGGCAGGAACCAACTAATTACAACAGTTGCCAAACCAGGAAAACAAAGCAGTGACATATGGGTGAGCTGAGTCCACCCCACCACACACACACACCCTTTCCTTTTACCCTCATGGGTTTGATATGGTCCAAGGAATCTCCAGTCTCATATGTTATCCTGGAGCTGAGGTCCAGCAGGAATATGTAGGCTAACTCTTTAAGCATCACCTCATGTGTCTAGAAATTCCCTCCCATCACACCTGTTAAACCCCTACCATAATCACCTTTCTCCTGTGGCCTCCTCCTGCTCACAGAATGCCATCTCTTGGAGGGCAGGTATCCCTACTTCATACCTCATTCCATCTCCGGAGTCTTGCTCAGCAAGCCTTTGGGGGAAGGGAGAGTAGGTAGCAAGTAAATGAAGGAGGGGTGAAATAATTGGTTTCTGAAGAACAGGCTGGAATGAAGATTAACAGCTCGGCCTGGGGCAAGCACACACCTTCTGCCCAGTCTCCACCTCCCTTTTAAGGAGACCCCCATCTGGGATCCTCTAGCAGCTCCCAGTGAACCCTGGCTCATTAAAGGACCCCCGTCTTTTTCTTCTGATCCTCCCCAAATGACCTCGCTCCTTTGCTAAACACCGTACTCTCAGATGGAGCCCCACTACACATGCTTGGTGGAAAACAAAAGTGGCCTGAATGGGCATCCAATCCACAAAGGGAGGAAAAAAAAGGATTGTATCCACAACTTCCACACTTGTAGTCCCAGGAGGGAGAGGAGCAAGATATTCTAGACAGAGGTCTAATCTCAGTCAGAGCTCAAAGAGTACATCTGTAGTCCAAAGAGAGGTGAACTAAGAAGGGAGTTCTGGCGGGATGGTAAGCTCCTGATTTCAGGCTGCTGTATTTCTCCTGGGGTGAAGGACTCCCAGTGTCTGAGGGGTAAACCAAGGTTGACTGGGGTACTTAGGAACTCTCTCCTTCCCCACCTCCGTGGAGCCACCTGGCCATAAACCTGGGCTGTTCGCATTTCTGTGGGCCCTGCTTCTGTGAAGGTCCTTAGAGTCCAGCGTTTCCCCGGAAGGTGGAGTGCTGGCTGCAGGCGCTAGACCTTGGGAGGGTGGGGTGCCCTGGGGGGAGCTTTCTTACCCCCCACCAGAGAGCTCTCCATCGGCCCGACGGGTGTCAGGAAGGATTAGGTTAAACCCAGACACCCGTTGCGACAGCGACCACAGGACTCACTCCTTCCCTCCAGCGACGTCCCACTCTTCGTCCATTCCCCGCCGAGATAAAGTTGCATTTAGCGCTCCCAGGGGAACGCATAATGGATGGAGCAGCGGCTCCTTCTCAAACCAGCAAGTGAACATCCTTTTCACTTCCCTCTCAGGCTAGGAGGAAGGGAGGGGGGTGAGAGACCAGAAAAGAAAGGAAAGAAAAAAAGAAAAGAAAAGCCATGGTGACGCCTGTGGGCTCTTCTTGGATCTGAATAGGTGAGTAGGGAATGCTAAATCCGGACGCGTTTATGCAAAGGAAAGATAAAATCCACGGGTGCGCAAGTCCATGAGCTTATAGAAATGAGCTCTGCTCTTTGGTGAAAATATAGACCTCTTTGGTGTGGGAGAGACCAGAAAGATTAGTTATCTGATTTCTATTCCCCATAAGCAGCCCTTTGCCGCTCTCCAGCTCTCTTGTGGCAGATGTGATAACATCTGGGCCATTATTATCACCCGGAGTAAGCAGTGGGTCCCTAGAGACTCAGGCACCTGAACAGTAGCTCCCTAAGGAGGGCCTCGATCTGTCTGCCACGCGAGGGCCATGTAACAGGTTGGCTAATTGATTTATTCTTCTTCTTAGGTCTTGATTTCACAGTAATTAAAAAGGCGGGGCCAAAGCGTGTGCTTTTCAAATCCATTTGAATTAATGTTTTGAATCACACTTTCCTATATGTTAACTTGCTCTTGTTTTCTATTGAAGAAGAAACAAGCAAAGAGAAATAAGAGTGACAGAGTCAAAACGATGGAAGAGAAAAGAAAGTTCTCTTCGTATCTTACTCCTTTTTTTCTGCAGCGGTTTTCTTTTTCTGAAGTTTCCAGAATAAAGGGCGTGTGTGTGTGTGTGTGTGTGTGTATGGGCGCGCGCGTGTCTGCGCGCGCGTGTGTGTGCGTGTGTGCGTGTGTGTGCGCGCGCACTAAGGCGAGGAAAGGACCCTAGCTACACCCTGTTAACTATTTTTCCTTTTGATGACTAGACCCCTCAGATCACTCAGACTCTTTTGAAACGTGGGTATGTACACGGTTTTACAGACAAACAATAAGAGAAATGCGCAATTCCATTTCAACAGCCTTTTCCGAATAAATAGCATATACTTTTTGTGGCTTCTAAGTGGCTGTCACTGGTGGTACCTGACACAGTTATATTAACAACAACAACAACAAAGTATGCAGAGGAAATTAAATTATGTGGAAATCAATAGCGTCTGACTGCTTCAAACAAATGTCTGTCACCGCGATTATTCTCCAGGAACCTATTTATAAACCTTAAAAGAAACAGGTTCCAGCTGCAAAAGACAGCATCGTCCGCATTTCTGTGTTATTTTTCTCTGAATTCGCGGGCATCATTTAACGTACAAACGCCCAGCTGTATACATTATATAACTGCTTGTTAGGCATCCCGCAAAGGAGTTGTGCGGAAGTGAGGCGCGGGTGTTCAGAGCTTGCGAGGGAGGGGAGGGGAAAACCAGCAGAAGGGAGCGTGTGCATGTAGCCTTTCTCCCTCCAAAAGGGGCCTGCCCTGAGACAATAGCCCACCCATCTGATCTTCCCAGACCCGCGGTGGAAAGGTGACGCGTGCAGTGCGCATGACCGGGCAGCTACAGGTGCATCACCTGCGCTGTCCTTGCTGGTGGTCACTATAAGAGCGGCTCCCACGCGCCAGTCGCTGCCCGACGAGTGCGCGCGCGCGCAGACGTACGGCGCCGCCGAAAGGAAGGGCGCGCGCCAGACAGACGGAGACAGCTGATGCCTGTCAACGCGGCGGGGCTGCGAGCTCTCGCGAGAGCTCCCCGGGCCGGCCGCGAGAAGTGGGGCTCAGGTGTAAGAGGAGTGCATCCCGTCTGCGCGCGGGGCTAGAGCTCGCGGAGAAGCGGACCGCGAGGCCGGCGCGCGGCGCTCTGCGCGGTCACAGGGAGCGCCGGGCGACGGCAGGAGCAGCGGGAGCCCGCGGCGCGGCCGCCACCGTCCGCGGCTGCCACCTCGGAAGGGAGGCCGGGGCACCGGCGCGCGCACTTTCCCGCGGACTTTCGGAGTGTTTGTGGATTTACATGCCAAGCGGCCAAGATGATGTCCATGAACAGCAAGCAGCCGCACTTTGCCATGCATCCCACCCTCCCTGAGCACAAGTACCCGTCGCTGCACTCCAGCTCCGAGGCCATCCGGCGGGCCTGCCTGCCCACGCCGCCGGTAAGCGCCCCGCGCCCGGGC